GTCCCCTATTTCGTCGAAGAAAAGCTCGAACAAATACTGAAAGTAATGAGTAAGTCACTATGAACAGCTAGTGCAAAGTGACAGCACTATCGAGCCAAACTGAGAACTGTTCTTTAATGATTTTTAACATGAACCACCAATTCTTACTATTTTTAATTTCTGCGTTTTAATAGACTTTGACATGTTCTTGAGAAGATATTAAATCGGTTAGCGCTGTTGTTCCGTTCTAAATTATTTTGGTGGAAGCGCCTCAGAAGACGCTGGTTTAACTAAAACCATGTTGGGCGACGTTGCATTTTGACTGCACAAACCGCAATTAAATTTAATTTTAACAGCTATTCGAGTGTGTGAAGAACGGAAAAGAGCAAAATTACATACCATCGGCCTTTCGATTCAGGTACGAATTAAAACTTTCTACAATGCCACTTATCCATTGCTTGTAACTAATAGACTTTGTCCTTACTCTTGCGGGAGGCCGTACGATCTGTTTTCCTTTGTAGAACTTGGCAAACTTAGCGCACTCTGCCTCAAGCGCAACAATGTGATCTTTCGATTCTCTATCTCAGTAGCGCAGTTGTTGTGTTGAACATGGACGAATAATACATCGCAGCGCGTCTTGTAGATAGATAGAGATGCGATGTTTAGGATAAGCGCTGAATATGGACAAGCGTTAAAGCCGCCACCGAAAAAGCACAATCGACCGTTTTTCATTGTAAGGAGGTCTTTCACACAGCTGTCAGAATTAAAGAGAGGAAGAACGTCGATCTCGATCACCTAAGTAGCAAAGTACACCACGAGCAGCGACGATGATCAAACACCTGGAAGATCACCGTGGTGTCCCTCTACTCTTTGGTATCATAACCAAGAGCGAGCCCTTTCGACTTGTCACTAAGTTTTACGGTTTATAAAACAAAGGAATTATAAAAATTTATAAAAATTTCCTTTCTTAAAAATCGAAGATTTTCATGGTTTCCGTAACTTCGTATTTTTCCAAATTTCCTCTTTTGCATGTTATGCTGTTTTGCATTTTCTTCAACGTATAATTTAGTTCAGCGTCGATCATTTATCATCCTTAGAAAAAAATATTCTGATCTTTACATTTAACTATAAAATTGCTTTGGCGTACGTTGTCCGCATAAAAGGAGCGTTAAAGTAAACATGAGTTGATTCCAAGCAAGGGTTTTACCTGGAAAAATGCCTGCACACGAGTGACACCGACATTACCGCGTGTCCCTTTCTGGAAAACATTCGTGTTATGACAAGAAAGGTCAGCTTAAGGGTTTTGGGTTACCCAAACTATGCAATTTTGACGCCGAAAAGTGCCAAAAAGTAATTACAGAAACTTCATCCGCAACACCTTGAACGTGCTGTGAGCGCGAACTGAGATCTTCTCTTACAGTTAATAATTGCCAGGCGGATCTCAGATACGGCTTAGCCTAATTTGCATAAATTTCTTTAGTGGGCAAAGCTCGTCATGCAAAATCCATCTATCCATCCAGATCCATATCAAAAAGGATGTGTGATTTGTTTGAAACGGATTTTCGTTTCCAATCAATGAACAATCCAGAGGCTTCGGCAAAAACAACCTCATCTAACCAACCGTGACAACCGTAGTCAAAGGTTAAGCTGTTACGTAAATATGAAATCCCGTATGTGATCAACAGACTAATGAAACGTCTGGCAGAGGCGTTTATTAACTTCCTATTCTCTGTACATGAATCCAAACGGTGTCTAAAACATGAGTGCGTCGATAGACTTTGAAAACATCAACGATCTTGGGGGCATGGTTAAACTAATGCAGTCTCGAGGTATTTCGCTAATAGGGCTGCAGACATTGGACCAGATGAAACAGAGGGTGAAAAAGGCGCTCAGAATATCAGAGGAGGTAAGAATGTAAGCATCTATGGTTAGTGTCCATTCAAACTCAGCGTAGACCGCCATCGCCAACCTGTCGGAGAATTATCAAGTAATGGCCCCGAATTACTGGCCTAATGTGGTTAATTTAACGTCCGAATTTAACGAATCACTTGCTGTCATGAGGCCGGCATTGTGTATGCTTTGGGCTACTATTAGTTGACCTAGAGACACCGTTTCAGAATTGAAACGAAAGCAATGGACAATAACTTTATTGGTTGTTGACTGGACTGAACGAAAAGTAATGTAGATCAGCTAACACCAAGCTCTTCATTTAACATTTTATTACTTCGTTATTCCAAGCGTTTTTAATAAATGTAAATCAGATGGCGAAATCGCTTAAGAGGGTGAAACTTGATAATCGGTTCATATGCATCGCAGTTCAGTGGACATTATTCCCTAAATCGTATTCAGAGCTCGAAACATACATAGCGAACATATTTAGAATGTCAACCTCGTATATTCTAAGTTGTTCTCCCTTCTTAAGAGCGTGTCTCTGTAATTTCCGACCACTCGAAATTGGTTCAAAAATAAATCTTGCCTTAAACTTTGCATGTGGATAAGGAAACCATTGTCTATCATCGGA